ACTATTAAAGCATTTGTAAAAGCAACTTTCAAACAAACAAACCAACCGTCTTTCACCAGGGGCTTACAACAATATGTCTTTGTCTTCAGTGGGATGGCAAGCAAAAAATGCATAAAATACAAGCAAATAATTAAAATTTTCTAATTTTATGTTATCTCGACGTTTCAAGTCATCTCATCGAATGAGACCAAATTCGGAATAAGTATGTGTGTGTATGTAAGCGATTTTTTTATCTTTCGTCAACGATTTCTCAAAAACGGCTGGGCCAATTTCAAAAACTATTCGATGTAACTCGATAAGAAATAGCGTATGTCAGTTTTGTGAGACGATCGGCCAAGCCGTTTCTTTCTAATTATCAGAAACCTGTAATATTTTTCATCCACGTTTCAACTCACAATCTTGAACCGATTTTAAAATTTAATAACTCTTCGAAAGTTACTGATTTGGAATTACAATAATTTTAAGTAAACATTGATCAGGCCGTTTCATCATAATTGAACGGTGAAAGTTATTTTTTACGATTTTTATAAAACTTTGTATAACGATAAATTTTATAGTTATCAGTCTAAAATAACATACCTAAATATTATAAACCTACGATAAGCGTAACGAATTAAACAAATTCACAAATGTGTGGAATTACACCCCACGCTTAAGCGATTCCAATCAGAATCTATGCTTTTCGTGCATATGTAAGTTCCATATTTGGTAGCTAGCTACTGATTACATATGATTACATATAAATAAAATGGCTCACATATAAATAAAATACATCTTTTGAACAGGAAGTGTATGAAATGAGATGTGTTGAACAAATGATTTTGTTTATATAATTACAGATATTATGAGTATATTTAGAAGACATCAGCTGGAAATCGCTTTGATTTTTTTTTTAGTGAAAACGAAAATTTTATTTCCAAAATAAAATAAAGTAATCAATTTTTATTAAGTTTATTATGTATACGTATCGGGAAGTTAATGCAACTTAAGTCAATTGCCTAATGTTGATTTTTTTGTAAAATATAAACTTGTAAATAGAGGCTGCGAAACTTTTAGTGCACAACTTTGCCTTGTGTTTCACACTATTTATTTGCAGTGCTTTGTCTCCTTGTTTCAATTCCAGTCATTCATTGCAATAACAGTTTTAAATTTAATGACGACGTCTAATCAAGTTTTTCAATATTTTTTAAACTTTTCAATCGGCAGAAGTTTCAGGAAATACATCCTATGTAACCGGTTGTCATAAAAATAAGAAAAATCTTGTGATATCCAAGTATTTTTATTTTCTTCTTCTTATTGACGTTCACCATTATTATGATTTCTTATATTTGTAAATTGTAGGAAAATTTCACATGGAATATTCTAGAACAATTACTTAGAAATTCAGCAAAAACTTCAATCGCATTATATTTACAAATGTGTATTCTTAGATTTGAAAGCTCAGCATATATTTATATATAATGAGATGAAATTTATTTTCTTTTCTGTGCTAATCAATCACGCATAGAGTACCATGTCGATAAAATTTCTTTACTTACTTGTTTCAAAAAAAAAAACTGGAAAGTTATCGAAGTGAACTTATTTTACAAACATTTTATATTCTGCTGTTTTTATTCAGGATTAGAGTGCATATTATTTTTCTTGCTGGCTAAGAAAGTAAAAATATATAAGCGTTATGCCAAAATTAGATTTCAACTTTTACGAGCTCACCAAATACTCGGTTAACTAGCTGTAAGTGGAATTCTGTCTTAAGGCAATTAAGGCATCGTGCCTAAAGGCAAATTGCTGGAACTTCCCGTACCAAAAATTATTATTTTTTTAAAAACGATTAACATTTTTGAAAAAAATTTACTTTGAAAAAATTAGATTTTTGAGAAACTATAAATTGGTCAAAAAATTACTTTTTTTTTGAAAAAAAAAAATTTTTTTTATATTTTTTTTTTTTTATTAATTTTTTTTTTGAAAAAAAATTTTTTTTCTTTATTTTGAAATATTGTGGAAGATCTGAACTTTTTTTTCAAAGCAATCGTACTGCTTTAACTACATAGGGACAAAATATAAAGCGCGTAAGCGCCGCGTCGTCTAACGCATAAGCATTGGTACGGAACCCATAGGAAAATATATACTGATTGTTAAAATCTCTATAAAATATCTGATAATTTGATGTGCATATGTCTAATGATCATTTTTGACCGCCAAATGGCTCATTTTTTTACTTTTTCCTCCATATCTCCGAAACCGCTAGACCTACAATCATGAAAATTCTATCGATTCTTCATCTTGTCAATACAAGTGAAATGTTTTTTGAATCATTCAAATCGAACGCTCCGTTCTCTTAAAAACTGAGTTACCGTTTTCGGCACTTTTTGCCCCGTATCTTCGGAACGGCTAGACCTGCCTTCGCCAAAAACTAATCAGCACGTCTTCTTATCAATACGAATCGAATGTTTTTTGAATTATTCAAATCGGTTGATCCGTGTTCCCGAAATCGTCGACGAAAATTTGTATCCGCACATACATACACACACGTACATACATACATACATACATACATACATACATACATACATACATACATACACACACACACACACACACACACACATACATCCATTTTTTCTAAGGTATGCCAAAATATTCAGAAACCTCTGAAACGTAAAGATATATAAAAATTTTCATTTTTGATTTTTTTGCGATTACTATAACTTACCCTACGAGAAGTTAATTACCCTACGAGAAGTTAAAAAGTCAGGCTGTAATAATTTGGATACTAATTAATTCAAATTGAGATAAATATGAGATAGGTGACTTTGTTTAAAAAAAGTTTATTTTGTAGTTTTTAGTTGTTGATTAACTGTGGTGACATTAATTTATTCATAATATTAAATTTTAAATTTAACGGTTTTTTATGGCGTTCAAAATTTATGACAATAGGATTAATTGCTATAATGCTTTCAGTAGAAAACAGACTTGTAACAAAACGATATTATTATGAAATCCTTAGTAAATGAGGTGGACACACGCTTAATTAACTTCCCGTAGGGTAAGTTATAGTAATCGCAAAAAAATCGAAAATGAAAATTTTTGCATTTCTCGACGTTTCAAAACCTTCTGAACATTTTGGCATACCTTAGAAAAAATGGATGTATGTGTGTGTGTGTGTGTGTGTGTGTGTGTGTATGTATGTATGTATGTATGTATGTATGTGTGTGTATGTATGTGCGGATACAAATTTTCGTCGACGATTTCGGGAACACGGATCAACCGATTTGAATAATTCAAAAAACATTCGATTCGTATTGATAAGGAGACGTGCTGATTAGTTTTTGGCAAAGGCAGGTCTAGCTGTTCCGAAGATACGGGGCAAAAAGTGCCAAGAACGGTACCTCCGTTTTTAAGAGAACGGAGCGTCCGATTTGAATAATTCAAAAAACATTTTACTTGTATTGACAAGATGTAGAATTGATCAAATTTTCATGGAGGCAGGTCTAGCGGTTTCGGAGATCTAATGAAAAAAGTAAAAAAAAAATGCCATTCGGCGGTTAAAAATGATCATTAGACATATGCACATCAAATTATCAGATATTTTAGAGAGATTTTAACAATAAGTATTTTTTTTTACATTTCTATGGGTTCCGTACCAATGCTTATGCGTTAGACGGCGGCGCGGCACATGCGCGCTTTGACATTTCGTCTCTATGCAGTTCAAGCAGTGCGATTGCTTTGAAAAAAAGTTCAGAATTTCCAAAATATGTCAAAATGAAGAAAACATTTTTTTCAAAAAAATTTTTCGTATTCAAAAAAAAATTTTTTTTTTCATATAATTTTTTTTTTCAAAAAAAAAGTAATTTTTTGTCAAATTTGTAGTTTCTCCAATCTATTTTTTTTTTAATTAAATTTTTTTCAAAAATGTTAATCGTTTTTAAAAAAATAATAATTTTTGGTACGGGAAGTTCCAGCAATTTGCCTTAAGGCACGATGCCCTAATTGCCTTAAGACAGAATTCCACTTACAGCTAGTTTTTTTTTCAAATCGAACATCAACAAAATAAATCACGTAATGGAAATATTTCTATTTTTAACTTCTCGTAGAGCAAGTTATAGTAATGGCAAAAAAATCGAAAATGAAAATTTTTATATATCTTTACGTTTCAAAGGTTTCTGAACATTTTGGCTTACCTTAGAAAAAATGAATGTATGTGTGTGTATGTGTGTGTATGTATGTATGTATGTATGTGCGTGTGTGTATGTATGTTCGGATACAAACTTTCGTCGATTTCGGAAACACGGATCAACCGATTTAAATAATTCAAAAAACATTCGATTCGTATTGATAAGGAGACGTGCTGTTTAGTTTTTGTCGAAGGCAGGTCTAGCCGTTCCGAAGATACGGGGCAAAAAGTGCCGAAAACGGTAACTCAGTTTTTAAGAGAACGGAGCGTCCGATTTGAATAATCCAAAAAACATTTTGAAAAGATGAAAAATTGATCAAATTTTCATCAAGGCAGGTCTAGCGGTTTCGGAGATCTAATGAAAAAAGTAAAAAAAAATGCCATCTGCGGTTAAGAATGATCATTAGACATATGCACATCAAATTATCAGATATTTCATAGAGATTTTAACAATAAGTATATTTTTTTTTACATTTCTACGGGTTCCGTACCAATGCTTATGCGTTAGACATGCGCTTTGACATTTCGTCTCTATGCAGTTCAAGCAATACGATTGCTTTGAAAAAAGTTCGGAATTTCCAAAATATGTCAAAATGAAGAAAACATTTTTCTTCAAAAAAATTTTTTTTTCAAAAAAAGTAATTTTTTGTCAAATTTATAGTTTGTCAAGAATCTAATTTTTTCGAAGTAAATTTTTTTCAAAAATGTTAATCGTTTTTAAAAAAATAATAATTTTTGGTACGTAAAGTTCCAGCAATTTGCCTTAAGGCACGATGCCCTAATTGCCTTAAGACAGAATTCCACTTACAGCTAGTTTTTATTTCATTACCTGAAACACGATGTGTGATAAGTTCTCCGCATCTCTATCCAATGGTTGTAGCAGCTGAAGTCGTTTTCCATTTAATATAAAAAGTACTTTTCCTTTCGGAAATACTAGATCCAGTGAAATTTCCGTGAAAGGGTCTCCGACTATGGGCAATTCAGGAGGATTTGTCCTCTGGTCAACATCTGCAAAAAAACAATAAAATGTGATTCAGTTACAAAGCATTGCTATATATGATTATTATAGCTCCATTTATAATTCAACTTGATTAAAATCGTATAAATATCAAACTTGCAGTTTCAGGTGAATTATTTAACTTCTTTGTTTAAGATTTAATTTTTACGTAAAGACTATGATACAAAGCTATAATACCATATTAACTAAGCATTTATCTAATAATCCAACATTTAACCCCTTGGTATGTGTAACTTTATTTCTAGATCTTAGAGTTACTTTTAAAGCCTTTGTTTCTATCTTATTAGTACATGTTCAATATTTCCACTAACCATTAAAGAATTGATCCCTTATAATACTAAAGCATTCAATCACTAATTTAGGCAATGATAAAAATGTCCATAATAATAATAAATGGTAGTCTGCGCAAAGGCAGGTCCATGGTGCGAGAGCCACCACAATAAATGATTTCCTTGCCCTTTGTCTATCATTCCCATTATCACTATTCCTCCCCCCTCTTTTCCATGAATTTTCCTTTCCAAACTTCTGCTTCCATGCTTCTTGATCCTGCGCTTCGGCTTTCAGTTCCCTGTATTTTCTCTTCTCGCGTAAGTCGTCAATCATTTGCATTCTTCTTCTTCCTATTCCTTTCAGTCCTCCTATTTTACCCTCGACGACGTCGTGCAGGAGGCACTCTTTCTGCATAAGGAATCCGATCCAGTTTCCTTTTCTTTTTAGGATTGTACTCAGTAGAGTCCTTTCTTCGCCCACGCTTCTCAAGACTTCATTTGTTATTTTGTGTGTCCACTTTATCTTTTCCATCCGCCTCAAGCACCACATTTCGAAAACTTTTCATGTTGTTCTTGTCGCCCTTTCTTATGTAGAGTCCATGTCTCTGATCCGCACAGAGCTATGCTTTATTTGTCTCTTCCGCAAGCCAAGATAAAAATGTATATGTGTGATATAATGTTTATATTGAAAATCATAAAAACCATCAATTTCAATTTCTATGCATTTATTCTTAATCGTAAAATGCCATAATATGCAGTTGAAGAAATTTTATGAAGCGTGATCATCAGAACAGAACATGATAATATTTAAATCATAAAATAAAAACCATTACATGTATATAAAAATTCATTGATATAATAATAATGATGATGATGCATTGCATAGTACCCTTTATCTTGATACGTGCAACAATTTCTCGAACTATATGAAATGAACTTATTACTAGTTCATAGCTGAATTAGTAACTGTACCAGCATTGATTTTATATTATATCAATTATCGATAATTACATCCTTCCATGTTGAAATAAATTTCGAAATTATATTACAAACATCTTGCATTAGCCAACACCAGTTTTGTACCAGAAAGTCTAGTCAACTCAACAATAGACCAGACTCATTGAGTGAGATAAATCAAATTATCTGGAATTGTCAATGCCATAAATAAATCGTTATAAGACAAGATGTATTGATATAAGACGTTTTGGATTTGACACGAACTTTTGAAATTAATTTTACTTGAAAGCTGAGATAATATATGCACTGCAGTCATAGACCTTATACTACATGGACTGCTAGTCGAGCGCGAAATAAATGCTCGAACATTGAAAGGCATGTGACGTCACATGTTCGAGCGAACATTGCCGACGACAATCGTAGACTCTCCCGATTGATTAAATGTCATATGTCATATGTTCTTTTTCAATTATATAATGACAATTGTGATGGCAGATAATTTTGTAAAAAATGATATTGATAATATTTCCCCTGTGAAATAAATGTACATAAAATCGAATTCACCTGTTAATATCGGTTTATATATTATAAGGCCTATGTTAGGCACGAAACATATGACATATGACATGTGACGTTTGATCAATCGGGAGAGTCCGCGATTGTCGGCAACGTTCGCTCAGTAAGTGACGTCAAAGTCCCTTTTATGTTTGAGCAATATATACAACGTGAAACATATGAGGACTAGCAGTCCATGTAGTGTAATGTCTCTGTTTGCAGTACACACGATTTTCTGTCATTTTGTTCATTTTCTTCTTTTTTATGGAATTCCGACTATTTCGTATAATTTAATTTTTTATTTTTTTAACATGTGTTTTTACATGATTATACAGTCATAAAATTATACGCTGGAGGCTCTAACATAAGAAAAGAAAGAAAAAATGTTCTAATATACAATTTACTCTTGAGCCCAAGTATTTATATCAATGGCAATTAACAAATGGCATTTTTTCTGAAGTCCTCTCAAATTTAAATGCAATTAATTTTCGCAAATGATTGATAATATTTTCCTTCATGACGTCCACTACGATTGGAATATTGAGGTCGCCGTGCATGATTTTATCATTAACAAACCAAGGTGCGTCAGCAATCATTCTTAATGATTTTGATTTCATGCGAAGGATAAGGCATGTGGATTTCAAATTTTAATTCTAATATATGAACCCACTATTTTTGTATTGATCAAAACCAAAAGATCTATAATCTGTTTGATAATGCTTTTCCTAAACCATGTGGCCTTTTAGAGGGTAATCTAATGTAGTCCTATATATTTCATATACTTTTTAGAAGGCAACCCAGAGCTGTTCCAGTTGTGTTTAATTCGTATTATATACTTCTTTCAGCAATACAAGAAAAGGTAATTTTCACTTGTAAATATATTATCAGTTATATTTTTTGGCTGAAAATTACATATTTGATCCTGTGATCAGAACAAATCCGTAATGAAATTAACAAAATAAATCTAACAAGCCTATTTTTAGTTGGCCTTGTTATCTTACTGCACGTTCAATAAAATATAAATACAGTGGTACCTCGACTTGAGAGTTACCTGATATGTGCGTTCTTTAAAATACGAGGTGCCAAAGGAGCGATTTGTTGCTTCGACATACCAGCATAATTCGAGATACGTGTATTGAGAGAGTAAGAGTTTTCTAGAATAATGGCGAATTGCAAACATGAAAGCTTTTGTCAGTTGTTGGAACAATGATTTTCCTACCATAGATATATGTTGACTGTTTTATGTTAATAAATTATTTTGTAGATAGTCATTTCAATTATATATTACTATATGTGTAATAACAAAATTCACACTTATTATTAAAATCTCTATAAAATATCTGGTAATTTGCCTCGTATCTTCGAAACGGCTAGATCTGCCTTTGGGGTCGTTTAAGTATTACGTAAGCAAATTTATCACAATTAATCCCCTCCCCCCCCTGCCCTCTGTCAGCAAAAGTAAGCAAAGTTCTTACCCAAAATAAGCAAAATAAGCAAATCAATAACCCCCCGGCCCCCTAGAGTGCTTACGTAATACTTGCACGGCCCCTTTACCACTAATCAGCATGTCTCCTTATCGATACGAATCGCATGTTTTTTGAATTATTCAAAACGGTTGATCGGTGTTTCCGAAATCGTCGACTACACACACACATCCATTTTTTCTAAGGTATACCAAAATTTGCAGAAACCTTTGAAACGTAAAAATATATAAAAAAATTCATTTTAGATTTTTTTGCAATCACTATAACTTACCCTCCGGGGAGATTATTAATAAAGCTTTGAGATACGAGTGATTCGACATACGAGCGTGGTTACAGAACGAATTAAACTTGTATGTCGAGGTACCACTGTATATATGAGAGAGCGAGCACAAAACAAATCAAGTGGGTATATTTAAATTATGTCGTATTATAATTTTGCGTAACTTCAATGTTATAAGACATACTGGATTTTTTTGAAAATACTTTTTATTTGTCAGATTGCGAAGGCAAAGTAAGCTATTCAAGTAGTAATATCAAACACAAATTTTATTCGAGAATAGGCCTATAAATCTTATTTACGTTGCGTTTTCGAAACTAGTGTCCGACTATTATGCTTTCGTTTTCAGCTCCAGCTCTCATTACAATTGTTTATCGGACTGTGAATGATTTGAAAATAGATGCAATATCTCTGCCGAGATATGTTTAATGTCATCGGTTCAAACTAATCTCGGAGCAATGCTGCTTCTAATCCGATTCGGTCGTAGATCTTAGCGAAAGTCAATTTTAAATTAAACTTTATGACTTGAACTGAATTAATTTATCGAACATCGCATTTTAATCGGCGAGCAATTTTGCTCTATTCTGATTTAGAACGATTTGAAACAATATTGCACATTCTCATGTTAACCGGTAGGCTATTTTACTTGCGTGGTTTATGGTATCTCTTGACATCAAGGCAATACCTTTGAAGTGGACCAGATCATTTATATAAATTTTCTCAATGTATTTGCAAATCGAGCAAACATATATAAAAAATATTTTGATCTTTTAAATAGAGTAAGGAAAATTGGGGCTATCTGTAACGGGGGTAACTAGTAACAGGCGTTTTCCGATAAATTTCGTATATTTTATTACGTTTCAAATTTATCAATCTTTGAAAATGTCTAACAATTTTTGTAATTAGTACATATTATTAACTTCCCGTAGGTTATTGTAATGGGCCGAAAATCGGAATTGAAAATTTTTACATTTCTCGACGTTTTGAAGGTTTCTGAACGTTTTGGCATACCTCAGAAAAAATGGATGTGTGTGTGTGTGTATGTATGTATGGATACAAATTTCCAGTCACGTTTTAGGGCGCACGGATCAACCGATTTGAATGGTTCAAAAAACATTCGATTCCTATTGATAGGGAAAAGAGCTGATTAGTTTTTGGCAAAGGCAGGTCTAGCCGTTTCGGAGATACGGAGCAAAGAGTGCAGAAAATAGAAATCAAATTTTTGAGAGAACGGAGTATCCGATTTGAATCATCTAAAAAACCTTCAATTAGTAATGATTGGGAGAAGTGTTTATTAGTTTTTGGCAAAGGCAGGCCCAGCCATTTTGAAGATACGGAACTAAATATGTAAAAAATGGCAGTTTTTGAGAGAACTAAGCGTCCGATTTAAATGATTCAAAGAACTTTCTGCTTGTCTTAACAAAATAATTGATTTTGGATAAAAAAATTTTGTTCCAACTTTTTTTTTATTTTTTAGTTTTTTGTATATCGAAAATATTTCAGATTTTATTTTTAATTCTGACTATAGTTCTAATATACTTTACAAATAATTTCAACTCTGCAATTCAGTTTATATAATTCTTATAAATATTAGACAATGTTACAATATTTATAATAATCTATTTGAAAACATACAGTATTCCTCGAACATTTCGTTACGGTACGGGAAGTTCCAGCAATTTGCCTTAAGGCACGATGCCATAATTGCCTGAAGACAGAATTCCACTTACAGCTAGTTTTATTTTATAATTTTTATAATAATATTATAATAATATATTTATAATAATACGTTTATAATATTGATCATATGTATTTTGTTCCAGGAAAATGTTTGTTATACACGTTAAATGGTTGTGAAAAATGTCTCCTCTAATTTGTAAGGTAAGTTTCTATTTTTTTTTATCTTTCATTTATGTATATTTCATGTATCTTTTATGTTCAGCCTTGCTCATTTTTAGCATTAGTTAATTCATACTTTTTATCATTTCTAATTTATTTTCTTTAGTATTATGTTTTATAGTTTCGCAATCAATATGGGTTAAATAAAGAACCGAAACATCAACAGAATTTTTGTTCAACTTAGCATACATATAATAGGCTGCACCATTTATATGTGGTCAGTGAAAATATTGAATAACTTGATCAGTTTTCAATGATTTTTGATAAACTTTCTATTTATTATCAAATTTAAAGCTTTACATTTTTACAGCTATGTTCGAAAAACAATTTCGATCAAATGATCCCTTCATTGCGCAAACAAAAATTTGCTCTTTCATT